GCAACCTGGAGAATGCCGGACGATTCGACTGCCCGCGTTCCGAAAGTGGATGCGGCCATCGACCATATGGGCTGGACGAGGAGATCGCTGGGTCACTCAGGTGTTATACGCTTGGAAGATTCCCGCTGCTGTTAAGGTAGTCAACATTTCCGATCGCATTGTCACTATCGACTGGCGGACCGAGGTTGCCCAAGTCGTCGAAAACGTCGAAAACGGGTTCTTCCCGAGAGCGGGACGTTATGTACGCGTTGGTACTCGAAGATATAGAGAGTGGCAAACCCTCGTTTATGAGAATACTATATCTGTCAAAGCCCAGGCTCGAGAGTCTCAACGTCTAGACGACCTTCAGAAGATGGAACCACCGGCCGTCCAAACGCCGAACTATCCGTGGCCGACAAAGATGATGATTCGTCCATCGCCAGGTTGCGAGGAAGCGAGAGTGATCAACCTTCAGATAGTCCCAAGTGAAGTGTATGATGAAACAGTCGAAGTCGGTGAGCGGTTGTCAATGAGGACTCCAGTAGTGGCGACAACAGTATTTGAAGTGAGCGAGATTTCGGAAGCTGAAGATGAAGCAACGAACGTTCCAACAGGTGAAGTTGAGGAAGTGCTAGATGATCAGGACTCCGATGACGATGAATTTTTTGACTCAATTAGTGTCGAAGATGATTTCCCGAAAGTCAAATTGGAGGACATTCCAAGAGTGGAACCTGAGGATGATGTCTTTTCGGACTTGCCGGTAGCGGTGATGGCTTGTACGCCAGTTCAGCAACTTGAGCTAGAATACGAGCGCGTGATGCGAATAAGTGCCGAAGAGTTGGATCTCGAACCCGCAGTTTATGTTCATGAAGGGAGCGAAACATTATCACAACTCCGGGAACAACTCGCATTGCTTCCGGACATCGAAGAATTATCTCCGAAGTGTGATATCGACTCGGCCGACGTTGGAGAATCGGGGACGAGTACTCCAGAAGACGACCGAAGATTGCGAGGGATTCTGAAGTATCATCGAGCCATTTTTCTGGGAGATGGGAATGCGGTTCCAGCTCCGGCGCGAGGTGTCACTTGTGATTTGGATGTTGGAGAGGCGAACCCTGTCGCTCAGCGCCCCCGATCGGTTGCCCCACATTTGTCGATCAATAGTATGAACTGCTGAAGAAACTTTTGGAAACCCGACTCATCGAGCATTCGGAATCACCATGGGCATCACCTATTGTGATTGTCCTCAAGAAAAATGGTGTGGACATTCGAATGTGTGTCGACTACCGAATTGTCAATGGATTCATTACTTTGTCCAATTATCCTTTAGATGACCTGCTGATTGGGTTCGAGGATGTCATGTGGTTTGAGCGAAGCTGATATCGGCGTTTGTCTGTCCGTTCGGACAGTTCCAATGGACTCGTATGCCATTCGGACTCATGAATGCGCCACTGATATATCAATCGGTTATCAACAATTGTTTATGGGGATTTGTGAGACTGCCTCCGGA